AAATTGTACAGTTCAGGGGTTTTTAGTAGTTCACAGAGTTGTGCAACCATCATCACAAGTTATTTCAACATACTGAAAAGTAACTCTGTACCCGTTAACAGTTATTGCCAAGCCTGCTCACCCTATCCTTCCCACCCTGTACCTCAGCTTTAGGCAACAACTAATCTACTTTCTATCTCTATAACTTTGCTTGTTATGCATATTTATATAAACTGAATCATACAATATATGGTCCTTTGTGTCTGGCTGCTTAGCATAATGTTTTGAAGTTAATATTTGTTACATGTATCAGTACTTTATTCCTTTTTATTGGCAAATAATATTCCATTGTATGGATATATATTTTGTTTATTCATCAGCTGATGAACAAAAGGATTGTTTGTACTTTTTGGCTACTATGAATAATGCTGCTTTGAACATTTATTTACAAATATTTGTGTGGATATAAGTTTTAATTTATCTTGGTTATACACCTAGAAGTGGAATTAATTGGGTCACATGGTAACTCTGTCCAGCTTTTTGAGGAACTGCCAGAGTGTTTTCCAAAGTAGCTGTCAAATTTACATTTCCATCAGCAGTATATGAGGGTTCCAATTTCTCCACATCCTTGCCAACACCTGTGTTTTTGATGATGGCCATCCCAGTGGGTGTGAAGTGGTAGGTATCTCATTGAGGTTTTCATTTGCATTTCCCTGATGACAATGATATTAAACATCCTTTCATGTGCTTATTGCCCTTTTGTTCTTTGGAGAAATGTCTACTCAAATATTTTACGCATTTTAAAATCTGATTATCTTTTTACTGTTTAGTTGTAAGAGTTCTTTATATATTCAGATACAGATTCCTTATCAGATAGATTTGCGAATATTTTGTTTCATTCTGTGGGTTGTCTTCTACACTTTTTTGATGGTGCCCTTTGAAGCACAAAAGTTTTTAATGTGGGTGAATGAAGTTCAATTTATCTATTCTTTTCTTTGGTTGCTTGTGCTTTTGGGGTTAGACCTGAGAAACCATTGCTTACCCCAAGGTCCAGTAATCTTTTTAAAACTTAAATTTTATCATTTTACTTCCTTCTTTAAGCATCTCCCAAAGCTACCTATAACATTTAGAATAGATGCTATGTGTTTAATGTGGCCTATAAGACTGCAAGATCTAGCCCCTGGCTTCCTCTGACCTCACATCTACCTATGTTACCTTCCTACCTTTCGTTGTACCAGATAGTAGCCCCTGAGTCTGCCTCCTCCAAGTCACTCTAATCTCAGAGCATTTCTATTTGCTGTTCCTTATGCCTGGAAGCTCTTTCCTCAGACATCTGGATGACTTATCTTTCTCATGCAGGTTTCTGCTCACAAGTTGCCTTGTCAATGAGGCCTGCCCTGACCACTCTTTTTTTTTTTTTTTTTTTTTTTACGATAGTCACAGAGAGAGAGAGAGAGAGAGAGGGAGGGAGGCAGAGACATAGGCAGAGGGAGAAGCAGGCTCCATGCACCGGGAACCTGACGTGGGATTCGATCCCGGGTCTCCAGGATCGCGCCCTGGGCCAAAGGCAGGCGCTAAACTGCTGCGCCACCCAGGGATCCCCTGACCACTCTTTTTAAAGGAGTAGTTTTCCTAGTCTCATCACTTGCTATCTCCTTTCTACATACTACACCTCTGTACATTTAATTTAATTTTTATTTTTTAAAAATATTTTATTTAGGGGATCCCTAGGTGGCTCAGCGGTTTAGTGCCTGCCTTCTGCCCAGGGCGTGGTCCTGGAGACCTGGGATCGAGTCCATTCTCGGGCTCCCTGTATGGAGCCTGATTCTCCCTCTGCCTGTGTCTCTACCTCTCTCTCTCTCTCTCTCTCTGTGTGTGTGTGTGTGTCTCATGAATAAATAAATAAAATATTTAAAAAAAGGAACTTATTAAAAAATAATAAAATAAAATATTTTATTTTATTTATTTTTATTTATTTATGATAGTCACACAGAGAGAGAGAGAGAGGCAGAGACATAGGCAGAGGGAGAAGCAGGCTCCATGCACCGGGAGCCCGACGTGGGATTCGATCCCGGGTCTCCAGGATCACGCCCTGGGCCAAAGGCAGGCGCCAAACTTCTGCGCCACCCAGGGATCCCCAAATATTTTATTTATTTGAGATAGGGAGAGAGAGAGAGAGAGAGAGAGAGAGAGAGAGAGAGAGAGCCCATGCATGAGGAGGAGCCAGAGTGAGAGGGAGAAGCAGGCTCCCCCCTGAGTAGGGGCTTAATCCTGGGATTATGATCTGAGCTAAAGGTAAATGCTTAACCAACTGAGCCACCCACGTGCCCCAAATCTGTATATTTAAAAGCAATCAAATTAGGTATAAATGTTCTGTTCTTTCAGCTACAGTACTACAAGGACAGTGACTGACAGAATAAAAATTATACACACAAAAAGAAAATAATTTAAACATATTGTGAAACCTCAAGAAGCCCTAGAATACAGAAATGCCCTCCTCCTTCATTATTACACATGAAGCACTGCTCTATTCTTCATAGCATTGGCATTGTATGGCTATATGGTTCTTCCTATATCTCCAGTGCTTGGTCCTTGATTGGTGCTCAAAACACAATAAATATTACACTTGGAATCAAGACAATAATAGGTATTAAGTGTGCCCTTTGGACGCCAAAGCTACAGGCTGAAAGGAGGTGAGGTAGGCAGGTGGGAAGGCTGAGAGAAAGAAGAGTGGAAATGTGGGGGGATGAAGAGGGGTGACGAGTACAGCAGCAATGTGAGCCCAGGTTTATGTCCTCCAGAAGCTACCCATCTCATTCTGCTTGTTGACTCTTCTATGTGGCTTTCCAAAAAAATCTACTGTGTTACAGAAAATCCTGAATAGGATATGCAATCTGTTGAGTGCACAATAACTTTAGTTAGCAGTAGGCAAAGTCCCATTTTTATTGCTAGGTGCTAAATCTGAGGGATATTACAGTGAGGAGCACCAACATTTTAGAACAGTTTAGATATGTGCTGTCCAATATGGTAGCCTTTAGCCACATGTGGCTACTGAGTATTTGAAATGTAATCACCTGAATCTGAGATGTGTTATAAGCATAAAACACGCATCAGATTTTAAAGACCTAGTACAAAAAAATGTAAAATATATCAGTTTTTAAATACTTATTGAGTGGAAATGATAGCTTTTTAAATATATTGAGTTAAATAAATATTATCACTTTTTAATGTTTTCAAAATATGGCTACTAGAAAATGTAAAATTACTCGTGGTTCACTTTTTTTTTTGTTTTTTTTGTTCATCCCATGTTTTCCTTAAAGTCCACAGGAATAATGCCTGGTACCCAAAATGTTTTTTCTTTTTTTTTAAAGATTTTATTTATTTATTCATGAGACATGGAGAGAGAGAGGCAGAGACACAGGCAGAGGGAGAAGCAGGCTCCATGCAGGGAGCCCGATGTGGGACTTGATCCCAGGACCCCAGGACCACGCCTGGGCCAAAGGCAGGTGCTAAACCGCTGAGCCACCCAGGGATCCCCCAAAATGCTTTCAATAAATACTAGCTGAATGCATTAAGTTGGGCTGCCTGAGAAAAGTCTTTAGACTAATAATTGGAACACTCCATTTTCTCCAAGAAAATGTTTGTACATTTATCCAAGAACCTAATTTTTGGACAGGCCTAAGCAGTGAGGAAAGTGATGGAAATGTGTGAGGCTGTTAATTTGCTTGAGATGGCTATTGATTCTCCAGCTGTATTTACACTCTGCTTCAAAGAATAAACATCACTTTAATTAGGCCAACTTAAATGTTTATTTCTTTGAAAACACTATTTCCAAAACATAAGCACTTGTTTTACTACATCTTTTGGAGAGTCAGATTCACATGATTCTTCAAATACTTCTACCGCTCACACAACTTGGAACTTTGGAATTAGGTCAACTCATTGGCCTCTCAGTTGCTATCTCCCATTCTGAAGTTGCTTCCCAGACAGATTTTGTTTCAATTTGAAAAGTGAGAATAGTGAAGAAGTTAAAGGGCTTTATAAACTGTATAACAGACTTGTGTTCTTTAAAATTATTCTTCAAAAAATTGCCTGATCTTTTTGATTTTCTTCAATAACAAGTGACTTCTTCCTTTTCCCCACAGAACAGTGCTCTGGCATAGAGTCATAAACCATCTTGACATGCCAGGCAATATAAGTAATTCTGAAGCCACTTGCAATCAATTCTAGCACTCCATTCCAGGGGCAGTTGAAAAATTTTTTACTTCAGGTGGGTAGCCTTAAAAAAAATAAAAAGAAAAGAATACTACAACTTATACTGGAATATGTTAAGAGGTTTTTTTTTGGGGGGGGGTTGGTTTCCAAATACATAATAACTTTTAAGAAAAAATTATTTAGTTAAGGAGTATCTACAAAACCATGCAGTGTGAAATGTTCTCATTCCTATATGACCTTGATAGGGACAATCTACTTCAATTTTCTTCTAGGAAGTGTCGGGGAGGCACAGTTGGGAGTGCACTGAGCTGAATTGTGATTTGTTGGGTCAGTCCTTGTGGAGATGGATCCAGTAAACAACACTTTGTCCAGACAGTGAGATTAATATGGAGCATGGCCAATGGTCCTTTCCAGTCATAATACTTAGCTTTTCCAGGTTAAAAAAAATCATTGTCCAAAAACTAAGAATAAACTACTTAAGATAAGAATAAACTATAGTTTAGAGAAAGATTAAGATTCAAGAAGAATCTTAAAATAGGATTTCCAAGAGTCAAGGAACCAACTCAGCAGTTGGTTAAGTCTCATCCTGGGTCTGTGGTGGCTTCTGGTATAGAGGTAAGGCAGAGTCAGGATAGAATACTTTATTCAGAACATGCATTTCCAGTTTATTTATTACTTTACCTCATTCATCACACTTCCCCATTAAGAGGGTCATCTCAGCAACCAATACATGAAAGGATATAACATTTAGTGATTGATATAAGATCTATGTTACTTATCACTCCTGGAACACAAGAGTGTCTTACCTGCAGCAAAGGCATCAGCTGCAAACCCAGTGCTTGCTCATAGAGTAAGTTCAGTTCTGCACAACTAGAGAAGGAGAGTTTGGAAGTGTAGAGGTAATAGTGCACATGCCTAAATGTGGAACCATCTCTGTCGATGAAGAGCCTCTGGCTTTCCAAAGAGGTCAAGGCTGAAGCCTCTTTCCATAGCAGGGAATCTGGAAACTGAGCAAGTTTGTTTCTGGGAACTGAGAAATGCCAGCCGCCAACGTTGAAATGAAACAAATCCTCCGCTGATTCATGAGGCATGCCAGGCTCCTCCTAAAAGAATGAAAACAGAGCTATGCAAGAAAAAGAAATAAAAAGCATCCATATTGGAAAGGAAGAAGTAAAACTATCTCTATTTGCAGATGATGTGATCTTGCATACAGAAAACCCCAAAGAATTCACTAGGAAATTATTAGAAATAGGTTCAACAAGGGTGAAAAGTATAGATCAATATATAACAATTGTATTTTTATTTATTTTTTATTTATTTTTTTAGAGGATTTTAAATCTTTTTTTTTTTAATTTTTATTTATTTATGATAGTCACACAGGGAGAGAGAGAGAGAGAGAGAGGCAGAGACACAGGCAGAGGGAGAAGCAGGCTCCATGCACCGGGAGCCCGACGTGGGATTCGATCGCGGGTCTCCAGGATCGCACCCTGGGCCGAAGGCAGGCGCCAAACCGCTGTGCCACCCAGGGATCCCGTATTTTTATTTTTTAATATTATTTATTTATGTATTTATTTGAGAGGGAGAGAGAGCGAGAGCACACGTGTGTGAGACTGGGGAGGAGGCAGAGGGAGCGAGAGAATCTTAGGCGAGCTCCATCCCCAGCACAGAGCCTGTTGAGGGGCCTGATCTCACAACGCTGAGATCATGAACTGAGCTGAAATCAAGAGTCAGATGCTTAACTAACTGAGCCCCTCCTCAATTGGGTTATTGTACACTAGCAATGAACAATCCAAAAATGAGATTAAGAAAACAATTCTATTCCAATAGTATGAAAAAGAACAAAATATTTAGGCATAAATGTAACAAAAGAAGAGTAATACTTGTACTCTGAAAAATGCAAAACATAGTTGAAAGAAATTTTAAAAGACTTAAGTAAATGGAAAAACATTTCATGTCTACCAATTAGACTTAATACTTGTTAAGATTGCAATATTCTCTAAATTTACTACAGATTAAACACAGTCCCTATGAAAATTCCAGTTGCCTTTTTTTGCAAAAATTTACAACCTGATGTTAAAATTCATATGGAAATACAAAAGACCCCAAATAGTTTTTTTTAATCTTGAAAAAGGAGAACAAAAGTTTTTTAAAGATATATTTATTTATTTGAGAGAGAAAGTAAGGGGGGAGGGGCAGAGGGGGAGAATCTCAAGCCAACTCCCCACTGAGCATGGAGCCCAAGATGGGGCTCAATTCCACAACCCATGAGATCGTGACCTGAGCTGAATCAAAAGATAGACACTTAACTGAGCCATACAGGCACCTCAAGGAGAGTAAAATTTGATGATTCACACTTCCCAATTTCAAAACTTACTAAAAAGCTATAGTGATAGGGACAGTGTGCTATTGGTATAAGGAAAACAAATGGATAAGTGGCAAAGCACTGAGAGTCCAGAAATAAACCTTTACATTTATGGTTAATTGATTTTGATAAGGGAGCCAAGGCAATTCAATGAGTAAAGAATAGGCTTTCCAAAAAATGGTGCTGGGACAACTGGATATCCACATTAAAAAAAAAAAAAAAAAAAAAAAGGAAGTTAGACCCCTACCTCACACCATACACAAAAATTAACACCAAATGGACCAAACCTAAAAATAAGAGCTAAAAATATAAAAACTCTTAGAAGAAAACACAAAATCCTAATGATTTTGGATTAGGTAATGCCTTCTTAGATGAGATACCAAAGGTACAAGTGAAACAAATATAACTTCACCAAAGTTAAAAACTTTTGTGCTTCAAAGGACACCATCAAGAGAGTAAAAAGACAACCCATATAATGGAACAAAATATTTGCAAACCACATATCTGGTAAAGAACTTGTATTTAGACTACATAAATAACTCTTAAAACTCAATAATAAAAAGATGGACCACCAGATTTAAAAGAGAGCAAAAAATCTAAAAAGACATTTATCTAAAGATACACAAATGGTCATTAGAACATGAAAAGATAATTAACATCATTTGCTATTAGGGAATTGCCCATCAAAACTTGCAATGAGGTGTCACTTCACACCCAGTAGGATCACCTGAATCACAGTGATAACAACAAGGGCTGACAAGGATTGGAGAAATTGGAACTCTCTTACACTGCTGGCGAGAGTGTTAAATGGCACAGCTACTCTGGGAAACAGTTCAGTAGTTCCTCAAAATGTTAAATATGTAGTTACTATATGGCCCAGCAATTCTATGTCTAAGTATAAACTCAAGAGAAATGAAAACCTATGTCCACACAAAAACTTGCAGACAAATGTTCATAGAAGCATTATTCATAATAGCCAAACATTAGAAACAACCCAATGTTGATCAACTAATGAATGAACAAAATGTAGTGTATCCATACAATGGAATACTATTTGTCAATAAAGAGGAAGTACTGATACATGCTACAACTCAGATGAAACCTTGAAACATTATGCTCAGTGAAAGAAGCCAGTCACAAAAGACCACATATTACATGATTCCATCTATGTATAATGTGCAGAATAGACAAATTTATAGAGAGTAGATTAGTGGTGGCTTAGGCCTAGAGAGGTTGTGGGGGAAATGGGTAGTGACTAGTAACAGATATGGAATTTTTCAGATAATGAAAATGTTGTAAAATTGTGGTACTAGTTGCACAACTCTGTAAATATACTAAAAGCCACTGAACTGTAAACTTTTATTTTTATTTTATTTATTTTATTTTTTAAAGATTTTATCTATCTATTCATGATAGACATAGATAGAGAGACAGAGGCAGAGAGAGAGAGAGAGGCAGAGGCAGAGGCAGAAGCAGGCTCCACGCTGGGAACCCAATGCAGGACTCGATCCCGGGACTCCAGGATCATGCCCTGGGCCAAAGGTAGGTGCTGAACCACTGAGCCACCCAGGGATCCCCTGAACTGTAAACTTTAAATGGTAAATTGTACTATGGGAATTATTTCTTTATAAAGCCATTTAAAGCAGAGAGTTATGAGGCCCTGTGTTGGGCTCTGCACTCAGTATGGAGTCTGCTTGGGATTCTTTCCTTTTTCCTCTCCCTCCCCCTCTGCCCCTCCCCCTGCTGTCTTTCCCTCTCTCTCTCTCAAACAAATAAATAAAATCTTTAAAAAGACAGAGTTATTAAGAGGTGTTCCCACCCCACTGAGCATATGCAGAGCTCTCTTGGGATCATACCTACAGAGACATTACATTATTGATCCCATAGCAGGATAGCTGAATGCTGTGGTTTCCTTTTTATATATACAAAGGCAGCAAAGATCATTAACCTTCCTCAGCTTGTATGAAGATTATCTATTCATAAGTGAATTATTTTGCTTCAAGGTGGCCGAGCTTATCAACACTATAGAAAAGTAGAACATATAAACATACAAACCATCAAACACACAAAGCATCTGTATCAGAATTTAAAATAAACACTCAAGGAGCACTACTTTTGTAAACAAAATTTAAGAGCTAGTAAATAGTATATAAAATTTTACCTTAAAGAGAACCATAAAACAATTTTGAATGCTAAGTAAAAATTATGCATCCGAAGCAACTGGAGTCCAGTGTGCTGATATTTATCACATTTTGAAACGCATCACAAACCCAATATGGACTGATAAAGGGATAGACGGATGGACATATGTAATAAAACAAATACAGCAAGATGTTCACTGTAAAACCCAGGCAGTGGATATATAGTTCTTTCCACCTTTCCAAAACTTTTAAAATTTGTGTTAAAATGTTGGTGGCTGAGGCAGGGTGTTAAGTAAGAGATGACTGCTTAGAGAGAAAAGGCCCACTTCAACAAAACCTGCATCTTCTATTTTGACAGCTGAGGAAGCAAAATAAATGCACATAACAAAGAAGTGGGTGGAATTCTTTTCTCTTACCATAGCCTGGTCTAAGTATTCAGATGTAAAGAAGAACAATTATATATGCCACATTTCAGGCTAGAAGAATTAAAGGGGCCATGAGAAAGACTACAGATTTTTAAATGGTGTCATGATTTGCAGAAGCAGAGGGGGGAAAATAGCCAATCTAATGAACTAATTAATTTAGGCTTTTGAATCTTGGTCCTTTTAAACAGGGCTACAGCTGAGCATGATAAGCTAATGGTAAATAAGAGCCCCACCTCCACCAGAAAGCAAATATGCAAGGACTCTAGATTTTGCTTTCTGTTCTCCTTAAAGGTGACCAGCTGGTTGACAGCTCATTTTAAGTGCTCCTACTGTGCGGATTTTGGCTGCCAGAGAAAACCTCCTCCTTGAAGGTGAGCCACAGTTTTGTTCTCAGTCCTCTTTTCTTAGTAAGGATAGGCTTTGACAAGAGTGTCCTGGCTCAAGATTTTGCCTCCTTCTTATACATACATGTCCCATCTACAGGTGGGCTCTTAAGAGATGCCTACCGGAGTCAGGGTAAGGGTTAAGGATGTGGCTGTTCTTTCTAGAGTTTTCTTTCCAAAGACTGCACAACAGTTAGCGTAGAACTATCCCAGTCTGGGGAGAGCCCTCGGTCAGAGGCAAGCTTAGGGACCTGTAGTACTTGAAGGACAAAAGGCTTCTTGACAGACTGACTACAGGAAAGGGGGTAGCCCTAGCATAATCATCTCCAGCCCATTCCAAAGAGCATCTCTTCCCCCCCCCCCCGCACTGAACCTCTTCTCCCCTTCCATATCAATTTCTAGAGCTAGAACGATCTCATCATCAACTCCTCAGAGTCAAGTTCCCCAGGGGTTCATATCTGGGGCTCCCTCCCTATCATGCCTCAGAGAGCTGCCCCCCACCTCCTACCCCAATCCTTCAGCTCTGGACACCTCCCCCGCCCCATTCACCCGCTGGCCACTGCCTGGTCTCAGACTCAACATCTCCAAACGCTGAGATATGAAGAGCTTGACCTCGTCAAGGGGCACACCTCCACCTCTCAGACCTGAAGTCCCCCCAAACTTCAGGACTGGAACCCTTCATCCTTCAAAGCAGGCTCATTCTTCCAGCCCCTCCGAGCCAGGCCCCCTCTCCCCGCAAACCCTTCAAAACTGGGGCCATTTCCTACCCCATGTCCCAGAGCCAGGTCCCTAACCCCATAGCCCTCATCCTCGGCCACACCGCCTCCCCAATCGCCGCTTTGGTGTTTTTGGCGCCCCCGCCAGGGCCGGATCCATACCATCGTCGGAACTCCGGAGGCGGGCAGGCGCGCGGTCACCGCAATAACGGCCGCGGGCCTCGACGGCACGCGCGGGGGGCGGGGCCTGAGGCGGGGGGCGGGGCCTGGCGGGGGCGGGGCCTGGCGGGGGCCAGCCTGTCTCGCGGACCGAGACAGGTGAGGGGCGGCCGGGGATGGCGGAGCAGTGGGATCTGGACGAGGAAGGCGTCCGCCGCCTGGGGGCGCTGACTCTGGAGCAGCCCGGTAGGGCCGGGCGGGGAGGCCCTGGGCCGGGAGCGTGGGGTGTGAGGCTGAGGGCAGAAAACAGGTGGAGGCGAGGAAGCCTCAGGTGGTCGCGGGGGAGTGGCGGCGGCGCGGTCCCTGAGGCGGAGGAGGAGTTACTGAGGCAGAAGTTACCCCGAGGTGGAGGTAAAGGACGGTGAAGTAACCGGAGAGTCCGGGGAGGAGGGCGAGGAACTGAAGGACACCCACGGAGTCCGAAGGGGAGAAGGAGAAACTAGACTAACGGGACGCGGTGGCCGGAAGCACAGACTGGACGGAGCCTGAGCTGGTGGAAGGAAACGGAAGCCCCGGGGGCGTTGTCGGGAGAAGGGACGAGCGGAGAAGCGCCTCCGAGGGCCAAGGGCGTTCGTTCGGCGTTTTCTGAGATTTCAGACCCAGGAGGGCTTTTCCTCTTTAGGGTAAAGTGAGAAAGGATGTTCCCTCATCAACCCCTCTCTTCGTCTAGCCTCCGCCGCAAGGACGTGGGGTTTTTTATTTTATTTTTTTAAAACCCATCTGGATGCGCGGCCTCCTTTTAAGAGACCCTGAGAAAGGCGCCTAAATTGTAAAAAGCACTAGCGAAAGAGCTGATCTCTCAGGGCGCTAGAGAGAACCGGCTGAGTGACCGCTGAGCCCACCTGGGACCTGGGGTCTGATTCACACAGCTTGTTTTCTGAATTTCTGAGGAGTAGAAATGTTGGAAAAGTTATCGGCATTCCTAATGCAGCTTTCACCCTTAATGAATTTACTCTAGCATTCAGGCCCCGCGTAAAATGCTCCCCGACGCCCCCCCCCCCCCCCGCGATGCTTAATCCCCGAAACAAGCCTGTATAGTAGATGCTGTTACTGAGCTTATTTTACAGACGGGTTAAGATTAGGTTTAGGGTCCTGTCCAAAGGGACACAGCCAGGGTTTATTAACCCAGGACTCTGGAGTCCAGAGCCTATACTCAAATAACCATAACAAAAAAATTGCCTCTCATGCTTCCTCTAGTACCATTTATTTGTGGGATGAGATAATTTTGCTGTTTAAAAATTATTGTTTAAAATTTATAAAAACTTGGGCAGCCCCGGGTGGCTCAGCGGTTTAGCGACGCCTTCAGCCAGGGCCTGATCCTGGAGACCCGGGATCGAGTCCTACATCAGGCTCCCTGCATGGGGCCTGCTTCTCCCTCTGCCTGTGTCTCTGCCTCTCCCTCTCGCTCTCGCTCTCTCTGTCTCTATCATGAATAAATAAATAAAATCTTAAAAAAAATTATAAAAACTAGGGCATGCTAGAAACAAGCATTACATGAATGACAAAGAGGTTATTAATCTTTCCTTCCTCTGGAAATGCCTTCACCCCCAACAAAGGTAATGGTTTGGTATGTGTATGTGTAGACTGATGCAAATATTTCAGGTTTATTTTTTCTTTTCTACACTACTTTGAGCTCTCCTATTTTACAAGTTAACTAAGAAAAGCTTTATTGGTTTGACACACTTTTGTACTTTTCTTGCCCTTATAAAAATATTGATTCAGTTTTATTCAATTGGGGGGGCATGTACTCCTTCCATTCTCCAGCTATAATGATACATGGCAGATTTTTTTTTTTTTGCTTGCTTTTGTTTCCTTGTTTTGTTACAGCGGTTTGAATAACAAAATTAACTGTTCATTCTGACAATTCAAACAATGCTAAAGTGTCTAAAATAATATTCTTCCAGGACACCCCGGGGGGGGGTGCTCAGCAGTTGAGCACCTGCCTTTGGCTCAGGGCTTGATCCTGGAGTCCCCGATTGAGTCCCACAGTTGGCTCCCTGCATGCAGACTGCTTCTCCCTCTGCCTCTCTCTCTCTCTCTCTCTCTCTCTCTCTCTGTCTCATGAATAAATAAATAAAATCTTTAAAAAATAAAAAATAAAATATTCTTCCCTCTCTTTCTTTCCATACCTTTCCCATTACTTATACTAACATATACACATAGTTATTTTTTTAAGGTATAAGAACATATCTATTATTTGGCAATTTGCTTTACTTTTTATCAGTAAAACAGATATTTTCAATTAATGTGCTGATATCCGCATTCTAAAATTATGTAAAAAATCACAACAGTCATCTCTGGGGGAGAAAGGCTTTTACTTTTATTCTGTACTTTTCTGTATTGTTGGAATTCTCTGGCTACATAATAAGTGTTACTTTCTTTTTAATGTCCACAATCTTGGTGCAGTTATAGACTGTTTTGTATGTTTGGGGTTTTTTTGTTATATTTCTCTGTACTAAAAAATTCCCATAAATGTTTAAATTATCCTTTGCCATGCAGAAAATTTTCATTTTAAGGTATTTAAGCTTATTTTTCCTTATGATTTGTGATTTTTTTGTCTTATTTATGGAGTTTTTCCCTACACTGATGAATAAAATTTTTTTTCTAAAACTTCTGCAGCTTTGCTCTTCACCTTAGGTCTAATTGACTTGAAATTTTTTTTATACAATATGGCATTTGGTATAATTTTATTTTTTATACTGATAGCCAGTTTCCTTGGAACCTATTTATAGTATCTCTGCTATATTCCAAGTCCCTTTATAAATGTGGATCTGTTTCTAGGCTTTCTGTTCTGTTCCACTATTTTGTTTTGCCTATTCCTACACCAATATCACACTTTTGTAACTACCATGGCTTAACGGTAGGTTTTAATAACAGGTAGAGTCGATGCCCTCCTTCAGTTTGCTTTCCTCTTTGTCCATCAAAGTTGTCTAGGCTATTCTTAGCCCTTTATTCTCATTTAGAATTTTAGAATCAGCTTGTCAGTTTTCATGAAAGCATCTTAAGCATGGATGTGTCCTGATCTAATACTTATTTTTAAAATATGACTCTCACCCATTAAAAGCCTATTCAGTAGTCCAGATAAGAGAGAATGAGTGGCTTGGACTAGGAGGATGACAGTGGACTGAGTCAAGGTGTATTTTGTGGGTAAACAGGACAGGACTTACAAAAATAATTGAATATGAGAGATGAGGAAAGGGAAGATTCAAAAATAACACTTAGCCTTGGTTTAAGTTATTGCTGGGTGGACAATGGTGCTATATATATATATATATATATATATATATATATATATATATACACACACATACATATAGAGAGAGAGAGGGAGAGAGAGAAAGAAAGAGCAAAGACTATGGGAAATATGGCTTGGGGAAAGGGAATCAAGAATGCTGTTTTGAACATATTAAGTTTAAAATACCTACTAGACATTTAAAGATGAGATTTTTAGTAGGCAATTGGATATACAAATCTGGATTTCGGAGAGAGGTCAAGGTTAGAGATGTAAATTTTGGGAGACAAAGCAAATAAATAATATTTAAAGTGATGGGAATGGGTGAACTCACCTAACTAGAGAATGTGTATGGAGAATAGAAGAAGGTTTAAGACTCATCATGGGGTATTTCAATGTTTAGAGGTTGAATAGAGAAAGAAGAACATGATGTCTTGGAGTTTAAGGGTAGTAATCAAGGAAATAATGATCAGCTGTGCTAAATGCTATTGACAGGCTAAGCAAGCAGGAAATATCTGTTAGGTTTGGCAACATGGAACTCATTGATCACTTTAGCTAGGGAAGTTTCAAGAGAATGGGGAGAAGGGAAGCCAGACTGAGTTGGGATGAAAAGGTAATATGTGAGGGAAAAGGGATAGTGAAGGTAAGAAACTTTCCTTAGAAATTTGGCTATAGGGCAGCCCTGGTGGCCCAGCGGTTTAGCGCCACCTTCAGAGGCAGAGACACAGGCAGAGGGAGAAGCCGGCTCCATGCACCGGGAGCCCGACGTGGGACTCGACCCCGGGTCTCCAGGATCCCGCTCTGGGCCAAAGGCAGGCACCAAACCACTGCGCCACCCAGGGATCCGCAAGAACAAGTTTTTTAAAGACACAATATACTAGCACGTATTTGTATGCTGAAGATAATTATTTGGTACAGAAAATATATAATTATATACTTCTTTGCCTTTTAAAAATTATTCAGTTAATTTATTATATGGGTAATTTAATAATTGTACAGTGAAAAGTAAGTCTTAACCACCCCCCTTCCCTGGACTTGACTCAGGCCCAATTCTCCTAAAGACAATCACTGTTACCAGTATCTTGGATAGCTTCCTAGAAATATTCTCTACATACATAAGCATATATCACTTATTTTATAATTTTTAAAAAAGATTTTATTTATTTATTCATGAGAGACACAGGCAGAAGGAGAAGCAGGCTCCACACAGGGAGCCTGATGTGGGACTCGATCCCAGATCTCCGGGATTAGCCTTGGGCCGAAGGCAGGCGCTAAACCGCTGAGCCACCCGGGCTGCCCATTATTTTATAATTTTTTATTATGACAATATAAAAATATATACAAGAGTAGAGACAACAGGGCAGCCCCGGTGGCTCAGCGGTTTAGCGCTGCCTTCGGCCCAGGGTGTGATCCTGGAGACCCGGGATCGGGTCCCGCATTGGGCTCCCTGCATGGAGCCTGCTTCTCCCTCTGCCTGTGTCTCTGCCTCTCTGTGTGTGTGTCTCTCATGAATAAATAAATAAATAAATCTTTAAAAAAAAAGAATAGAGACAACAGAATAATCAACTCCCATTACCCCACCTCAGCTCGTATTGTCAATTTACAGCCAATCTTTCATCTATACCTTACCTAACTTCTACTCCGCCTAACCCCTGCACTGTTTATTTTGAAGCAAATCCCTAGCATATGATTTAACCCATATATATTTTAGTATGTATCTTTAAAAGATAAGAACTCTTAAAAATAATCACTTATAAACCTAAAAATATTTAATAGTAACTTCTTGATATCTTCAAATATGCAACCAGGTTTCTTATTTCACCAACTGTCCTTAAATTTTTCTGAATCAGGATTTATGTATGGTTTACTGTAAGTGGTTGATATTTGTCTTTTTAAAAAAATTCCAGGGGAGCCTCAGTGGCTCAGTTGGTTAAGTGTCTGTCTTCAGCTCAGG